ACTCTTCCCACTCTAGTGACTCCCGGAGCCCCTGCCTCACTCAGCTTGCATACTGCATGAGGCTTTATCAGTGGCTAAACCTTAAGGGAGCTGGCAGGTGGCAGCAGTCCTTGGAGTGTCCTGGTTTTTGGTGAAGCTACCCCAGGCCTAGTACTGGTGGGAGACTTCCTTCATTTGCAGCATGGCCACTCTCACATGCCTCCAGGTCCAGCACAGGCAGCAAACAACCATGGATCCTTCTGTAGCTCCTACCAGGTAGTCCCCAGCCAGTCATAGGCAATGGATGACCTGGCTTGCCACAGAATGCCCTCTGAAGAGGCCCCAGAACCAACATACTTGGAAGTTGACTTCAGACCACAGCGAACACTGCCCAATTAGCCCCGCAAGAAGCACACACAAAGGGCAGTCTCAACAAGCACCACAGCCTGCTGGGGCGAATCCCACTCAGTGGGGTAAGTGCCACGTACAGCAGCCTGTAAGCTGTGGACATGGCCAAAACCCACAGCCAATTAGCCTCAGGGTCAATACCACCCACTGAGGTCCCAATAGCAATCAAGGCTGAACCATAAAAGGAGGGCACACACAATCCAGACAAAGGACATTCCTGGAGAACTCAGAACAGGTGACCAGGGAGACTGTGCCAGGGCCCCACAGGGCACCTATACATAAGGCCACCTGGCCAAGATTGGGCGATGTAGCAGATCTACCTAATACATAGAAAAAACACAGAGAGGCAGCCAAAACAAGGAAACAAAGAAATACATTCCAAATGAAAGAACAGGAGCAAACACCAGAAAAAGAACTAAACAAAATGGAGGCAAGCATTCTACCAGTCACTTTATCAGAGACAGAGTTCAAAACAATGGTTATAAGGATGCTCAAGGAACTTAGTGAGAACTTCAACAAAGAGATAGCAAGTATAAAAAAAGACATAGAAACCATAAAAAAACAGTCAGAAGTGAAGAATACAATAACTGAAATGAAGAATGCACTAGACGGAATCACCAGCAGACTTGATGAAGCAGAGGATCAAATCAGTGATTTGGAAGACAAGGTAGTAGAAAACACCCAATCAGAACAGCAAAAGGAAAAAAAGAAACAAAAAAAATGCGAATAGTTTAAGAGACTTCTGGTACAACATCAAGCGTAACAATATTCACATCATAGGAGTACCAGAATAAGAAGAGAGAAAGCAAGAGATTGAGAACCTATTTGAAGATATGACTGAAAACTTTCCTCACCTGGTGAAGGAAATAGAAATACAGGTCTGGGAAGTGCAGAGAGTCCCAAACAAGATGGATCCAAGCAGGCCCACACTAAGACACATTATAATGAAAATGGCAAAGGTTAAAGACAAAGAGAGAATCCTAAGAACAGTGCAAGAAAGGCAACTAGGAACTTATAAGGGAGCTCTCATAAGATTGTCAGCTGATTTCTCAACAGAAACCTTGCAGGCCAGAAGGGAATGGCACAAATGTTCAATGTGCTGAAAATCAAGGACCTACAGCCAAGATCATTCTACCCAGCAAAGCTATCATTTAGAATCAAAGGACAGATTAAACAGTTTCCCAGACAAGAAAAAGCTAAAGGAGTTCATCACCATCAAACCAGTATTACAAGGATTACTAGGACATCTTTAAGATGGAAAAAAAAATCAAAATTATGAATAATAAAATGCCAATAGCTACATATCTATCAACAATTACCTTTGATGTAAATGGATTAAATGTTCCACTCAAAAGACAGAGGAGGGCTGAATGGATAAGAAAACAAAATTGTTACATATGCTGCCTACAAGAGAATCACTTCAAATTGAAAGACACACAGAGACAGTAAGTAAAAGAATGAAAAAATATATTTCATGAAAATAGAAACAAACAAAAAATCTGGAGTAGCAATACTTATACCAGACAAAACAGGCTTTAAAATGAAGACAAAATAGATTTTAAAACAAGAGACAAAGAAGGACCCAGTAATCCCACTTCAGGGTATTTATCCAAAGAAACCCAAATGCTACTTTGAGGGACATGTTCATCCATATGTTCACTGCAGCATTGTTTACAATGGCCAACATGTGGAGGCAGCCTGGGTGTCTGCAGATGGAAGAATGGATAAAGAAGAAGTGCTACACATATACAATGGAATATTGCTTGGCCAGGAAAGGGATGGGTTCTTGCCCTTGGCGGTGGGATAGATGGACCTGGAGGGTATTGTGCTGAGTGAAGTATGTCATACAGAGAAAGACAGATGCAATGTGATTTCGCTTATGTATAGAATCTAAAGAAAAAAAGAAAAAAAGAAACAAAACAGAAACAAACTCACAGATGCAGAGAATATTTTTATGGTAGCCAGGTGGGAGGGAGGTTGGGCATATGGGTGAAAAAAGGGGAGGGGTTAAGGATAAATTGGCTGTTACAAAGTAGTTATGGAGATGTAGGTTATAGCATTAGGAATATAGTGAATAATATTGTGATAACTATGTATGGTGTCAGGTGGGTACTAGATTTATTGGGGTGATAGATGGGAGGGGATTGGGGGGCAGGGTGAAAAGATGAAAACATTAAGAAGTACAAATTGGTAGTTACAAAATAGTCATGGGGATGTAAAGTTTAGGTAACATAGTGAATGATATGGTAATAACTATGTATAGTGCCAGGTGGGTCCTAGACTAGTCAGGGGGATCATTTCAAAATTATATAAATGTCTAACCACTATGCTATACATCTGAAATTAATATAAAATAAAATGTCAAATGTAATTGAAAAATTTTAAAAGGGGGAAAAGGTGAAGGGAAATAAGTGGTCCAAATTTTCAGGTATAAAACAAATAAATCATGGGGATGTAATATACAGCATAGGGAATATAATCAATAATATTGTGATAGCATAGTACGACGTAGATGGTTGCTGGACTTATCATGGTGATCACTTCTTTATGTATATAAATGTTGAATAACTATGGTGCACACCTGAGACTAATATAATATTGTATGCTAACTATATTTTTAATAAAAAGCTTTAAAAATTTTGAAAACCCGTGTGTGTGTGTGTGTGTGTGTGTGTGTGTGTGTGTGTGTGCACATCTAAGAGCATCGAGAAAAATTTGGAAGGATACATACTGGTTGGCAATTTGTAGGGATGGCATGGAAAAATAGAGGTAGGAGCCACACAAAATAAGGAAAACAAACAAAAAGAAAAGAATCACTATTTAAAAATCCAGCAATCATATGTATATATTTTTATGTATAAAAAAAAATATATAGGGCTAGCCGAGTGTCGCATTGGTTAAGAGCTGGCTTGGGATGCCAGAGGGCCCCGGTTCCGATCCCACATATGAGGGCCAGTGACACTGGCCTCCACAGCTAAGATGCTGAACAACAGCTCAACCTGGAGCTGGGCTGCCGTGAGTCGCTGGCGACAGCGTAGGCTGCAGCCCCTGCTGCAGTGGGTTGCCATGGGCTACCGTATGTAGCCAGCAGCCAGCGTGAGCGGCCAGCAGCCGCAGTGAGCGGCCGTCCAGAAGCCGGCGACTGATCTGCCTCGCCAGAGAAGAGCGCAATGATGGTGCCAACTTGGGCCAGTGAAGCAGCGTCCTCCACAACTAGATTGAAGAACAAAAGAACAGCATCTTGTCTGTTCCCCTTCCCCCAATTCCCCAGCACTGTTCCCATCCCCCAATTCCCCAATAAAAATCTTTTAAAAAATAATAAAATAAAATAAAATAAATATATATATGTGTGTATATATATAATGAATTAAGCTTAGAAGAGATACAGTAAAAAACCTAAACATGATCTCTGCTGATTAAAATAAGAAAGGAAATAACCAAAATTATCTCTTGATGGTAAGATTAAGGGAGATGTTTATTTTCCTCTTTATGTGTCTCTGCATATTCTATAATGAGAATTGTTGCTTTCATAATAATGAAATAAAACTAATAAATGTTACTTTATAGACATTACACTGAAAAATTGAGCTCATTTTGGGAAATCAAGGGAGGGAAACAGGGTTAAATACCCCTTCTTCTTAGGAGCTGTCTTAAGTACAAGATATATGAAATCAGGATCCATTATCCCTCATCCAGCAGAAAGTTACTCATCTAAGGCCAGAGACTAATTGGCTATTCCAAGAAGCTATTTGAAGCAGCAAATAGGGTATATTTTCCTCTACCTAACACTTTAATGACTTAAGTAAATCAGAAAGCCATTTATACCACTCTCAATTGTCCAAGGAACCACTGGGCTCTTTACTTCCTGTCCCTTCCCTCTGGCCTATAGCCATTTCACTGCTCAGGAACAGCTTCAAAATGGGGGTCAGGAAAGGAGGAAAGAAATGAAATTAATTTGGTTGATTGAGATTCTCATTAGCAACTCTAATAAAAGGCTTGATAAGTGAGATGGTCAGAATTCGCGGTTAAAATGAGGGTTCCAGGGCTCTCGAGAATTTCATTTAAGCAAACTTCTTTCAGATAAACACGATTTGCCTGAAATACACTTTAATGGATTTGATGCTTGCTATTTTTCAGAAAGGTTGGACTTGTAATAAAGGTGATAGTTTCCTCTTCTCACTTTAATTTTAAGGAAAAAAACAACATGAAAACACAAGAACAAAGGCCTTCAAAATGAAGAACCATATCCTCAGTGGAGCAGCAGGATCACATCTGAAAAGATTCTTCAGATGAAGAAAGATGTCTGACCCCCAGCATGCTCTCAAGAGGAACTTTATGAAGGCAGCAACCTTCCCAGGGAGTATACCTTGGATGTAAACCACCATCGTAAGGAATAGTTAAAAAGGATTTGTCAGGGCTTGACAAAAGCCACATCTACATATAGATATCTTTCCTGTTTCAAGGGGGCCCTCACAGACTTTGTCCCTTGGAATGCCCAGAGAGAAAGCGGTGCAGGCTCAAGGTGTTCAAAGCAATACACTCATCATCCTAGGTAATCAGACAAAACAGTCTGAATAGCAATGGCAACAGAGCAAGAAACAATTTTCCCTTACTTGAAGATGACAATAGCTCCCGGACATGGAGGGCAGGCCAGGAGAAAGATCTGCAATGGAAAAAGAATTAAGTATGGTTATCACGAGAAATGCTGGATGCAGTGAGACAATGTTGCTTTAATAATAATGATGATGATGATAATAACAATAATAATAATCATAATCATAATCATAAAACTAAACTTTAACACAGAAAATGTAATATAAAAAATTAAAAAGGCAAGCAGGTGGTTTTCCAAATATGTTTATGTTTAAACATGCATCTACATGTGTGTATGTCTGAGTGTGTGTGTGTGGGGGGGGCGTGTGTGTGTGTGTGTGTGTGTGTGATGGGAGGGACAGGGAAAGAGATGGAGAGTGAGGGAATAATAGTTTTTTTGGGTGTTAGGATATGGAGAAAGCTTTTTTAGGCCCTTTCAGCCTCTGACCTACTTAACTTCTAGAACAAGGCTCAATTTTTCAACACTTCGACTTCAATACAACACAAGTAGCCAGTCTAGGAGCTTTTAACCCAAGACAAGCACAAATAAATTCCGAGCATAGAACAAGTACACAAATGCCATCTGATTTTCCTCCCATGGTGGAAGGTGTGTTAATCATTGTCAGATTTAGCAAATAAAAGTACAGGATGACCAGTTAAATGTCACTTTCATATAAGCAATGAACAATGTTTTAGTACAAGTATGTTCCATGCACTATTTAGGATATAATTATATTAAAACATTAGTCAATGTTTATCTGAAATTCATATTTAACTGGGCATCCTGTATTTTAACTGGCAACACTATCAATATTGCAACCCCCAGGCTCTATCTATACCTCCCTTTAATTTTGAATGGGAGCAGAATTTGCCTCCCCAAAATCTCTCTCTTTGGCATAAAGATTATAATAGGCTGATTATTTTTAAGAAACGGGAGACACTGGAAAAGCCCTGACAACTGAGTAGAGTTACCCTTGTATAAGAGATGTTTACATTGGTAAGGGAAATCTCCATTTGTAAGGGTGTCTCCCTCTGCTTACCAGGAAGAGGAGGATGACTGAATCACTAGAAACTCTCTTCCATGGAGAAGGCAAGGACTTAGATCTGCGTAACAAGTTGACTCTTCTGGTTTACTGTGCTTTTCCTGGTCACCTCCCATAACTCTCTCCCCCACCCCCACATCTTTTTTTATCTTTAACTGGAGATGGTATCTAAGGTGTTGGCTTAGATCATTTCAGGAAGTTCCTCAGTTTTCCTGGGTATCTACCACATACATTTTAAAAATCTGTTTGTTTTTCTCCTGTTAATGTGTCTTTTATAACAGGGTCTCAGCCAAGAACCTAGAAGGGTAGAGAGAAAATTATTTTTTCTCTCCCACATTGGAATGGTTCATTTCTAAGCATGACTAAGTTGTTTCACTCTTCTATTCTCCTCCCAGGTCAAACCAAACAAAATGAACTTTGTTCTAAAAGACAAATCTGTTCCATGCTACTTCGTTTGACCTAAGCCTGGGTTACAGCCTTCAAAGCTGTAGCAACTTGACCTTCACCTAAGGACTGGTTCTCCAGAGGGACAAAGAAACCCCTGCAGATTGCTTATTAAACATGCAAATTCCTGGGTTCCTCCATTAAGAATGCCCATTCCAGAAGCCTGGGACTTCACGGGAATCTGCATATTTAACAAACACCCAGGACATTCAACCACTCCAGGCAGCCACTTATGCTGAGCGTTTGACCTTGGCCTGGAATCAGAGACATTCAGCAGGACTAAGGACAGATTTTAAAAAAATGAAACAGGGCCGTCCCAGTGGCTCAGTTGGTTAAGTGCTTGCTCAAGAGTGCGAGCACTGAGCAACAGGGCCGCCGGTTTGATTCTCCAGCCCAAGCTGAGCTGCCACTGAGCTGCCAACAGGTAGAAGGATGGCTCAGCTAAAAAAAAAAAAAGAAACACATTTCTGGAGGTCCTTCACTTACAGTGATTTAATGGTATGTATGGTTTATAAAATCATCAATATGTGCCCTTCTTGTGAGCATTTATTAATATAGATTATCCACATTATACATTATAGACTTATTTAGCTTTGTCATGTGTATATTCTCTAGCATTTAATTCTTCAGTTCTCTCAAAGCCTACATTTTGAAGGATAGGGTACTATCGGGAATAACACTATAAGACACCCACTTGAATCCCTGCCAAGAGAAAGAGAAAGAATGAAAAAGAGAAATGATCTTGAAAGGAACACGGGCAGAAACCCATCACCTGTACAAACACCTCATCAGAGAACACCTCCAAGGAAATATCTATCGAGAATGTGCCTTTCCCCTGTGGATCCATTTGATTAAAAGTGCAAAACCAGAGCCGGCAGAGTGGCGCGATGGTTAAGAGCTGGCTTGGGACGCCAGAGAGCCCCAGTTCGGATCCCACATATGAGGGCCAGTGACACTGCCCTCTACAGCTAAGATGCTGAACAACAGCTCAACCTGGAGCTGGGCTGCTGTGAGTCGCCGGCGACAGCGTAGGCTGCAGCCCCTGTGGCAGTGGGTTGCCATGGGCTACCGTATGTAGCCAGCAGCCAGCGTGAGCGGCCAGCAGCCGCAGTGAGCGGCCATCCAGAAGCCGGCAACTGATCTGCCTCGCCCGGGAAGAGCACAATGATGGTGCCAACTTGGGCCAGTGAAACAACATCCTCCACAAATAGATTGAAGAACAAAAAAACGACAGCAACTTGTCTGTTCCCCTTCCCCCAATTCCCCAGCACTGTTCCCATCACCCCAATTCCCCAATAAAAAAATCTTAAAAAAAAAGTGCAAAACCAATGACAATTACAGGTCCACAATCCTTTATCAGCAATTGCCAAATCTAAAAAGCTCTACAAGTCTGCTTTTTCGAAGCTAATTTGGTAGAAAAACATGACTCGAACTGAGCTGAGGCACTTAACAGACTTTGTCTATTATGCTATGGTGAATAGTGACACATTTTCCATAAAAATAATGTAGTTTGATTATGGGATGCAATACACTGCATGTGGAGTATTTTACACATACTACCAGTGGGGTCTGGGGAAGCACCCCATAATTAGGAAATTTTTTGATGTCTGAAATACATATGACCTTAGTGGTTTACGATAAGGATTGTTGACTTAGAGTTTTAATCATCCAAACGTGAACTTATCCCCACTCCCCACTCCACAACTCAGTAGCAGTCTAAGAAAGAAAGAAACAAAGCTGGTATTCTTTACCACTGACCCAGCAGTAGAGTTACTCGCCTTAGGCAAGGGACCGAGTTGGAGGCTGCACATAATTACCCAGCATCTGGCCCCATCACAGGCTACACTCAGAAGCTACAGTATACAGAGAGCAGAGAGGGGGGCCCCAACCACCTTGGAAAGGTGCTCAGTACTTTTGAGTCTCCTAAGGACTATACCAGCAGCCTTCGTGAGATTCTGGAATACACAAGATACTTCCAACATGCTAAACAGAGAAGCAAACGTGTGCCACTGGGCCCCGCAGTTAACTCTTTTCTATCCCCACAGCCAAGAAGAGATTAACAGATTCTCAGGGGCAGATTTCCCTATAACTGCTCCATTTGGCTGGCTCTGATCCGTGACAGCCTTTTGCCAGAAGCCCTGAAGAAACCTACTAAAAGAAGCAAGCTTCCAGTTCCAACCCTGTAGGGTGTCATATTATCCTCGGTTAAATCATGGATGTAACTTCTTTTGAGGCAACTAATCTAGTCTTGAATTTTCCAACAGTTACTTTCATGTGGCCACGTCATTCCAACCAGCGCATTGGCCTTTCTCGTGTTGCCTGTCTATTCCCAAAACCAGGATAGAGGGTATCTTTTTCAATCAATCTTTAAATCAGATACATGAAGACATATCAAATCAGCAGATTTGAAAAAGAACCCTAAATTCATCATATTCCATTTCCAGTAAACTCATCATGACAAGAAAAAATTCTGAGATGTCCTAAATTAAATTACAGCAGGCCAGAGGGTGGAAGGAAGAGACAAGGGAAGTTAATCTGTTAATAGAACCATCAAAAGACTGCTCACATTCCTGAGTGTATGTTGAAACTTTGAATTAACTTTCAGGTGACTATTTTCCATGATTATATAGAGAGAATAGCTGACCACCCGATGCCACCACATCTTGCTTATACGTGAACATTCCAGATTGTTGCCCACAACCAATTGTAAAGAGCATATATTTCTTCCTAGGGGCTGTGCACATTCCCCAGAACTAGCCCCACTTCACCTTCTCACACCTGCTTTATCTGTAGCAAATGTAAATTCTGTCAAAACAACTTCTTTCTTCCTCAAACTTGAGGTATAAAGAAGCCTGCCAATTCCAGGATGACAGTCATGTTTGTTTTCCCCACCTAGCCCTGCTGCTGGTGGTTTAGACTGCATGTCCCAGGACCTGGTCCTTTTCTGGCTAGCATATGGCTCAATAAACCCTTTTTTCCAGAAAAAATTTTTGGCCCTGAAGGTTTTTGTTTAACACTGGCCTCCTTAAGCAAGTTCAAAGATTTGTAACATTGAACCTCTCTGCTCTGTCATGCTGGAGCTACATACACAATCATGATTAACCAAAGGAGCCACATGAAAACATTTTAGTTCAGAGGCCCACAGGCCCCCAGCCCTGCTTTCTTTCTTGGTTGACTGGAACCACCTAAAAACTCTGGTAGTATGTGTTTTGGACTTGCAGACAGAAAGCTAAATTTCCCTTCAGCTGCAAAAAGAGTAAGAAGAGAAAACGTTTGGAAATGCAAATAAGGATAGTAGGACAATGAAAACGCATGTGAGCATATCCCAGCACTGACTTGGCACTTAGTATTCATGCCCAAGTTGCCCACCTTGGCATCTGAACAAAAGTGCATGGGCAGGTAGCACAGAGAGAAATGTGACAAAGCCTTCCATTTTCCCATCCCCTGGGAGTTAAGCAGGGCCTTGTTGTTAAATCCCACTTTACAGATTAAGAAACTAAGGGGAAAAGGTTCTGACACGCTTTCTGACAAGAACCCAGATCCACACACTTTCCACCCCACACCCAAGCCATTCCCGGCCTCA